TCTATGGCATCTGTGCAATCCCAGTGCCATCCATGAATTTGCACAGGTGTTGCTGGGGCACACATTCAAATCAATAGGGTTACACACAAGTGGCTGAGGAAATCATCTCCCAAACAAAACTACAAGTACTACAATGATCTGTGGGATGGAAGGGGCCCTGCCTGACTCACAGGGCCAGGTTTTAATCTCACAACCAATAAGAAAAGTATTTGTCTCAAAAACAAAAATCTGAGTGAGGTGCAATGCACATGGAACATCCCAATGCTATTTTTATGCTGCTTCTTAGGGCATAAAATGCTTTTGAATGTACATGTTGCTCAAATAATATAGTTGGAATATTTTTTTTTTCTTTTAAATAAAATGCACTTTCCAATCAGGATATTATGAAAAATCAGTAAGTGGTGTATCTTGGTGTCTTAAAACATCTTGTGTAACATTGTTATGTCATGGCTGAGAGGAAATGGCCGGTCCATACTGTCCCAGTGACACAGCACTGTCATCAAACAATGCTTTAGGGTAAGGTGTTGGAGCAACAACATACCCCAGGATGCCAGACCTGGACTCACCACACAGCTGCAAGAATAGGGTTACTTTCTGCTCCAGTTTTAAGACCTGGATTATTTCAACCCATGTACACAATCACTTTGTCTCTAGATGTCTTTGCTGATCACGTGTTTACAAACAGTAAGCAATGTTTCTAGAGCTATCTACAGGCAGCAGGCAGTTCAAAATCAGTTATTTAGTCACAGCCCTGTTGTGTGGCCAGGAGCAGAGCTGGGCACTGGATGATGAGCAAGTGGAATACTTAGATCTGGCATGAGGTGAGTTAGGAGCTGCTCCTGCTCTAATAGCTTCTCTGGGCTCCAGCTGGACCCCTCCAGCAGCAGAGGGCCACACTACCTGGGCCACACTTTGTGCTGAGAAGACAGAAAACAGACTGCCCTCACCAGAGTGGTACATGATACACATACTTTTGACAAAAAAAAATTTTTTTTGCAAACAAAATCGAGGTGAAATACATCTGGATACCTTTTTCCGTGTTTTCCAGTTTCAAACTGGATGTAATTTTTTTTCTAGATTATGGTTAAACTAGTTTATCCTTTCAAATAATTACTCATTTTCAGTTAAATAAGCCTACTTTACCTCTTCATCTGAAGTTCGGTTGTGACACCTGTCTGCTCTGGGCACTTTCATTTTCAAAACAAAGACTTTGTGTAAACCAGCCTTACACAATCCAAGAGTATGGACACCATGCTGAAAGGAGAGGAGAGGATGTCGTTTTCCTAGTAAGGACAATGAAGCTGGTTTTTTCATGTGAATTAAAGCAGCTTAAGATTAAAACACTAAGGCAGGGAAGATTTACCAAATCTGAAAAAGCACAGCCTGTGTGCCTTTTCACTATTTTACCCTGTGTTAGCTAACATGAAGACTACAGCTTATTTTTTTCCTCATGAATGCAAGACTCAAGGAATTTATGTTTATTCCTGAAAAGATCTCTAAGAAAATGTGTCTTTGAATTAACCTTGGGTGTGACCTCTCCTCTCAGAATTCATCATATGTTTTCTTTTAAGACAAAACCCTCTTGACACTGTAATTCTTTCTTCTTCCATTCTGGATCCACAGCTTGTGACTGAAACCACTTCCCACACCTTGCAGAAGGTGCGTAACTCCAGCTTTCCCACACGTTCCCCAGGCAAAGTCATTTTGGGCTCTCCAGGCAAAAATCTGCAGCACAATTCAGAGCAAGTAAGAAATAAATAGCCAAAAGAACACTGTACTCATAGTACTATTTATCATCAGAGTTAGCATAGTAAAAATCTCGGCTTTCAGTTTACTCAAATTTAACAGAGAGAGCAGGCACTCTAAGGAGAGGGAATATCCTCCACTTTTCTAAAACACTCTTTCTTGAGCAACGAACCTTTTTTTGCTCATATTTAATTTCTGTGTGGCAGTCAAAATCTTGTAAGGACTGCCTAAGGTCAGTCTCTTAAAAACATGCCTCGCTTCACCTTTCTAAGTACTGATGGGGGTGGATGGAGGCATGCTGGGTCCCATGCAGAGGGCTTATATTTCTGCAAGCAGCATTCCCTGCTGGCTTCAGGCCTTTGGAGGCATCTCACAGCTTCAGACACCTCAGTGCTTCCACTGCCATTCTCATGTTGCAGGTGACTCAGAGTAACACACCCCCCGAGCTAGAGCACTGGGATACCCAGTGTAGATTGAGACCCACAAAAACAGACTCCATCCAAGGGGTAAAGTGAATCCTTTAGTGAATCTGTTTAGTGAATCCTGTTTTACCTGCTCTTTTTCCCACTTTCTGGGGTAGCCCAGCCTCCTATTGACCTAGATAATGGGAAGATGATTATTCATTTGAATTTCAAAAGAACCAGTAGTGGGCTGTTAGCTCTAACTGCTGCACTCTAATAGAAATATACATGCACACATACAATTATTGAACTGCTTTTAGAACATAAAATTATTTAATTTTAACAGTAATATCTACTTATTCATGCACATATTTAAATCAGATTTCTAAAATCCCCGAGATTTTTTGTTTTATAGAGTGTGGCTATTATTTATCAGTCTGTTTTCAGCTTTATTATCTTCCTAGAACTACCCTTAAAACACAACAAAAACCAACCAAAACATAACATGAACATGCATGAGAAAACAGTAATGCTGTTTATATTTAAAAAGATCATATTTGAGGAAAAATTGAAATGCTGCCAAGACGCTCATAAAATGAGATAACACAAAAACAGAAAAATGGAATTTATGAAAATTACGTGATGCCCATAGTATTAATATGCATCTTCAAATGAAGACATGGACACATATGAAGGAGTGGAAATATCCCAGAAGACTGGTGTAATGACAGAGGATTCAAATTGCACCAAAGCTTTATTAAAAATGATCCCTCCTGATCTTAATGTGTTAAATGTCAGATTCTGTCACCCTGGTGTATGGAGTCCCAGTCATATCAATATTGATTATACGGCTTCCATTGCAATTGAGTGAAAATTTTCCAAAACAGTTCATGGCTTTTGTAAAACAATTTAAAAAAAAAAAATTGCAGTACTTTGTGAAAATGCATTGATTTGTTTCACTTCACAGGAAATAAAGATTCAATTTTCATCAGCTTGAGTTTTATGTGACTATATGACATAATGAAATCTCCCATAAATGCCAACAACAAATTAAAACATTTTGACACTTTTCATTTTTCAAAATTACAACATTATTTCTATCTGGATTCCAAATGCATGTAAAACCTGGAGAATCTCTCACTAGGTATCTGAATACTGGCACTTACAAAAGAATACTAAGGAATAGGGTTAGGTGAGACATTGGTATTCTGCTGTCATCCTAGTAAAGGTCCCAGCAGCATCAAAGCTGCCTTTCCCCGAGGCAGTCAGGCACCTACACACTCCCGAGACTCCTGTCCACATCAGCGCTACAAGAAACATACTCTCATTTTTTACACAATCCTGGTGACACAGAAGGCTCTACAGTGTGCCCAGTCTGAGCAAATCCTCACCCGGATGGAGCAGGAAGTGCCAAACTCATAGTCAGTCCTCTTGGAAGGAATGCCCTGTCCTGCCAGCAGCCCTCCCCGGACAGACCACAGCTGACCACAGCTGCGACAGGAACTCAGGCACTCCCTCCCAGAGGTACTGCACCCTCTTCTCATGTGGTTTCGCTAAATTTTAACATTTTATGACAGGTTGAGAAGCCTGCCAGTCAAATTTTCCATTTTATCTCCTGTTTCTTAAAGGATAGACGTTATTATGGAGCTACATGGTACCACGAAATGTAGTCCGAGGGACAGACAGAGGTGGCAACAAGCCTCAGAGCAGAAATCATGGCTGGGGGAAGTCATGGAGAGGCAGAGCACTATTTTTCAAAATCCATCTTCACAATGAAGTAACTGAACTTTCTTCAGCTATGCCCTTTTCCTTCTCTCTACTCTGTGCACGCAGCTGGGGTCAGGAAAGGAAAGTGACATAACACTGCAGATCTGCCTTAAATGCATCCTTCAAACTCCACCTGACTCCTGACAAGTGCAGCTGAGACCTGGTAGCCCTGACCTATTCATACATCTAGAAGTGACGTTTTTGCTTTTTTTTGTTCCTGTAACAGCACTAGCCACCCTGCAGCCCTATGATATCAGAGTCGCATCATCCAAACACAGTAATTTTGCTGTAGTGTGAGGAAAATGAACCACTGGGATAATTAGAGGATGATGTACCAGAGGACCTACTGCCCCATTAGCACCAGTTCATAGGATGTGCTCTGGCAGAGGAGAGGCTGTAATCACTCCTCTCGCTGCCATTATTATGTCCGTATAGAGCCAGCAGCCATCACAAACTTATCAAACTTTTTCTAATAACTGCAAACGGTGGCTGGAAAAGCACAAAGGAACCCAAAAAACACTATGCGAACTCATTTCCAGCATACATTTTGCAATTAAAATGACCACAGGTGCATAGCACGCTGTCACCTTTTGGATTTGAGACATTCTGCGATAAAATCAAACATGGGGTTATCCGGATAGGTGGATCCGCTACAGCGTCCTGAATAACTTTCTGCTTCCGAGAAAACAAACACACAAACAAGCAAACAGAAAATCAGCACTGTTCGATGCTTTCTGTGTATTTTCACGCTGTACTTTGAGGAAGGCGCCCTTATCCTCTGCCTACACCACGCGGTAAGCGCTCCAGGAGGGTGCGACGATTCTCACGTCCCTGCTGCGGACAGCCCGGGCCTCCCGGGGGACAAGGGGACCTCCCCCGCCCCGGGCACCGCCGACCACCAGGCCGGGGCCGCCGAGGCACCCTCCGCATCCGCGGGGGACCGGGAGCGCACCAGGCTCTAGCCTGCATTCTCCCAGCCCCGTTCTCTGCCGACCAGACACCGAAGCAAGCCCTGGGAGGACAGGGAACCGAGGTGCCTGGAGCGCTCCTCCCGGGAGCAGCCCCGCCGCGGAGGCGAAGGAGGCCATGTGCGGAGCGCGGAGGCCGCCGTGCCCGCTGAGATCCGCCCGCTCCCCGCGGCGGGGCGGCTCCGGGCCCGGCCGTGCCGCCACAGGAGCTGAGGCCGCGCCGCTGCGGCGGCCGCGGAGCGCCAGCGCCCCCTGCCGCCCGCCCCGAGCCACGCGGGGCTCGGCGGCCTCCGGAGAAAGCGAGTCACGGGGGAGCCGCCGCCGCCCCGCACTGCACCGCTCCGCACCGCACCGCTACACGCCCGGCTGCGGGGGCCAGCGGGCGAAGCCCCCCACGACCGGCACTGCCGATCCCCGGGCGGAGGGCCGCGCCACGCCGGGCCGGACCCGCCAAGAGTCGTGGAGCGCCGGCGGCGCCTCCGCCCGCGGCCGCCCCCCGCGCGGGGGTGTGTCCGCGCCGCGCGCGGTGGGCGTGGCGGCGGGCGGCACCGAGCGGCGCCATTGGCCGGCGGCGGCAGTGATGTCACCCATATGAGGCGCTGATAACGCGCGGGGCGCGGAGCCGGGAGTTTCGCAGAACGGGCAGCGCGCGCAGGGCGGGCGGCGGCGCGAGGCCGGGGACGGGCACAGCGCGCGCCCAGCGCACCAGCCCAGCCGCGCCCGACCCGGCCCGGCCCCACCGCCGGCGCTGCGGTGCGGGCGGCACAGCCACCGCGCCCGCCCGGCCCCGTCCGCGGGCTCCGCCTCGCCGCGCGGCGCACGGAGGAACTCGGCGCGGCTCGTAGCAGGGGCAAGGTGCGGCGGTGGGAGGGGGCGGCGGCGGAGCGGCTTTGTTGGCTCTGAGGGGAGCGGCGCCTCGGCGAGAGCCCACCATGGTGCAGCAGGCGGAGAGTACGGAGGCGGAGAGCAACCTGCCTCGGGAAGCGATGGACACCGAAGAGGGCGAGTTCATGGCTTGCAGCCCCGTCGCTTTAGACGAGAGCGACCCGGACTGGTGCAAAACGGCGTCGGGGCACATAAAGAGACCGATGAACGCGTTCATGGTGTGGTCCAAGATCGAGCGGAGAAAAATCATGGAGCAGTCCCCGGACATGCACAACGCGGAGATCTCCAAGCGCCTGGGCAAGCGGTGGAAAATGCTGAAGGACAGCGAGAAGATCCCTTTCATCCGGGAGGCTGAGAGGCTGCGGCTCAAGCACATGGCTGATTACCCCGACTACAAGTACCGTCCCAGGAAAAAGCCCAAAATGGACCCGTCGGCCAAGCCCAACGCCAGCCAAAGTCCCGAGAAAAACGCGCCCGCCAGCAGCGGCGGCAGCAAGAGCGCCAAGAGCTCCAGCAAGAAGTGCAGCAAGCTGAAAGCCTCCTCCGGCTCCTCGCCCCCCAAGCCGGGAGCCAAAACCGCCCACCACGGGGACTACGCGGGAGACGAGTACGTCTTCGGCACTCTGAAAGTGAGCAGCAAGACGGTCAAGTGCGTCTTTATGGACGAGGAGGAGGATGAGGAGGAGGACGAGGACGAGCTGCAGCTGCGGATCAAGCAAGAGGCGGAGGAGGAGGATGAGGACGAGGAGCCGGGGCCGCAGCAGCTGCGGCGGTACAACGTGGCCAAAGTGCCGGCCAGCCCCACCTTGAGCTCCTCGGCGGAGTCCACCGAGGGGGCCAGCCTGTACGAGGAGGTGCGGGGCGGCGCCGCGGCGGCGGGCGGCGGCAGCAGACTCTACTACAGCTTCAAGAACATCACCAAGCAGGGCCCGCCGCCACCGCAGCAGCCGCCCGGCCTCTCCCCGGCCTCCTCCCGGTCCATTTCCACCTCGTCGGCCGGTAGCGAGGAGGCGGACGACCTGCTCTTCGACCTCAGCCTCAACTTCTCCCAGCACGGCCACGCCGCCGCCGAGCTGGGGGCGGGCGCCGCCGCCGGCAACCTCTCCCTCTCGCTGGTGGACAAGGACCTGGACTCCTTCAGCGAGGGCAGCCTCGGCTCCCACTTCGAATTCCCCGACTACTGTACCCCGGAGCTGAGCGAGATGATCGCGGGCGACTGGCTGGAAGCGAACTTCTCCGACCTGGTGTTCACGTACTGAGCGGGGGCGGCGGCCAGGGCGGGCGGCGAGAGCGGCGGAGCTGGAGCTGCGCGACGCCGGCGACGATGATGATGATCATGATAATGATTAAAAAAATAAGTCTTGTTTTCTTTAAAAAAAAAAAATCTCGAAGTTAGTTCCGAGCCCGGGAGTTGTGATTTTATTTTTTTTTTTTTGTGTTTTTTTTATTTTTATTACGTTTGGTGATCACAACAACAACAGCAAAGGCAAATGGGACTGGGGGAAAAATGATACAGAAGGCGCTGTTTGAAGCTTGTCGGTCTCTGATTGAAGTCTGGAAGATGGTCTGCAAAGAAGTCTTTTGGCAGCACAACTGTTACTCAAGGGGGTTTGTGGATTTTTTATTTCTTTTTTTCCCGTGAGAGATCTTAACGAACTGTTATGATTTTTTATTTTTATTTTTTTTTTCCGAAAGGGACCATTGCAACTTTTTTTGGAGGGAGAAAACTGATGTCTTCTATGCATCCGATTCTTAACAAAGCTGCAGGGAGCTTGAAAAAATGCAGACTGTACAAACGCTTACAAATAACTGAACTGACTTAAGATCAGAGTTTACTTTTCAGATCAAATTGTTTATGGTTTTACAAATGTGATTTCTACTTGCCAACTTTTTTTTTTTTTGTAACTTGTTCCCTTATACCTCCTTGATTGAATACCAGACAGCCTAGACCTCAGTACAAAAAGGTATTGAAACATTTTTGATACATAACAGACCTCAGTCTTTTTTAAAAATTAATATATTTTCAGGCGTATTTTTGTACAGTGAAAAGGGAACATTCTTGCTGTGTTTTTTCAGTAAGACTTTTCAGGCACTTCTTCCCTTTTATTTTCTTTGTTTTTCTCTGTTTTTAGCATGCAAGTTTGTTGGTACGTTACGTCCTGGTTTTAAAAGGATTAAAATTTTAAAAAATAATCCTTGCATCTAAAGGCCTTGTGGTTTAAAAAAAAAGAAAAGAAACAAACACTTTTTTTGTACAGCTATAGTTCAGATTTGTTCAATATTTGTAGGTAAAGATTTATTGAAAATGGTGATATAGACCTCAGAGCTGTTATCTTAGTTTAAAAGATTGTATATGTACTGTACTATAGTAGGATTTTATGTATCTCATACGCTGTGATATGTGGATGGGGCCCCAGATGGAAGGTATGAAACTGGATTCTCGATTTTAGCAAAAAAAAAAAAAAAGAAAAAAGGCACATAGTTTAAAAAGTTTCTCATGTTGTGCAATATAATCTAAAGTACAGACCATCTGCATATTTTGTAGCAAATGATGGCAAAAGCAGACTTGTGCACTGTCAACATCATAGCCTGTTTTTTTTTTTTTTTTTAAATGCTGAAAGTCTGTATCTTTACAATTTTAATAAATCAGCTGGAACTGATAGAAACTCGTATCGCAATTAGTGTCTGTAGCAGTAACGCTGGAGATGCCGTGTTGTCACCCCTCGCCCGCGGAGGAGCGGTAGCTGTAGGCTGTTGTGCATGATCAGAGGAGGAGAGTCAGGGCTGCTTCTTTTCCCTTTTTTTCCCTCCTCTCGTGCTTTTTTCCCACCGGCTTTGCTCCGCGGGGCCGGGGTTTGCTCGCTGCTGGCTGCTCCGGGCAGTGGCAGGCTGGCTCGCCCCGGTTATTTTCGGCTCTGCCGCCTTCCCCCCGCTCCCGGGGGCGGCCCCCGGGCCCCGCAGCCGCTCTCCGGGGCGGGGGGCTCCGGGCGGGGGGCGCGGCGGGGCCGGGTGCCGCGCTCAGCAATGCCGGGAAGGCGACTCGCCCCCTCTGCATGCTCCCGGGCTTCCCAGCGCTGGGCTTTTTCCTCCCCCTCTCCCGTTTCTGATGAATAGCCTGGGCCAGACTCGAGGTGGAGATGCTGAGGGTAGCGGTGCTGCATCTCCTCCGCCCCGGGCAGCGCTCGGCCCGCCGGGGTGGCCCCGGCCTCTCGGGCAGGCAGGGCAGGGGAAGGGGCTGCGAGCTTCGGCTGTAGGTAAGCAGACTTTGTCAGTGTGCTTTTTTTTTTTTTTTTTTTTTTTTTTGGACTCTAGGAGCCATCGGATTTCAGCTGCGTGCTCTGAAATAGCTGCTGATGGCAATAAACAGACTCATGAGGTGGAAGTTTGTTTCTCAAGAAGTTTACTTTTTATATCGGATAGGCATTGGTAAATTATTACTACTTTTTGGTTTTTTTCTCTGCTAATTAATGATCCAGCTGTTTACAGGGACAATTCACTGTGCTGGTATTTTGGTGGCAACCACTGCTACAGGCTTTCAGACTTGCTGAAATGAAAATCCTGCATACGCATTTGTAAGGCATAATAAAACATAACATTAAAACCTGCATGCATGTTATGTTTAATCAAAGACAACTCTTAGGCATTTAAGTGGTGAGATATCTTACTTTAGGTTAGTTAAACTGGTAGTAAAATGATTAATATAATCTGATCTCTTTCTAATAATAATAATAATAAAACACTCATGATTCTAAATAAAAGTTGTTTGGCCTAAATCTTTGCTATCAGAAAAGAGATATAGCATATCTGGGAACTCAAATTTATGTCTTGCATTGTGATAATTCTTTATGAGAAACTGTGTTTTAAAACAAACTTAATTACAATATACAAGATATCCTTGGCAATGGATAGTCCTCAATAAAACAGAGTTTCTTGAATTTTCAGTTTTTGGTCTCAAATGATTAGTGTGTTCTCCATGTAATAACTTAGAAATCAGATTGAAAACAAATGACATTTATCTCTTCTAAGGCAAAAGACTGAAAGAAAATAGATACACTGAAGTGCTCTAGCCTAGCCATTCACTATTCTGCTATCAAAAATCCTGTTTTGGGCTAGAGTGATGGAGTAAGTTGATCAGGTTCTAAGTCTTAAAACTGAGCCAAAATTCTCTTAGTAATTCTTCAAGCTATCATGAGGGTAGGGTGACTTGTTCTTTCAGTCCCTTTCTTCTGATATGCATCCTTGTTTATTAAAGTGATAATAGGCAGTGTCATTAAACATTTGTGCTTTACAGATGTTCAATGAGTTATGAATGATTATGGTCAAATACAGGCTGCATTTAGTTTGCATTGTAATAAGGTCTGTGTCTCAGCCTACAAAAGTTTTGACTTGCGTATATTTTTGGAAGCTGTTTTTAAAATTACCATTTAAAATATTACTCAAGGATAGCTGATTTAAATTGTCCAATTAAAGAGCAGTCAGGCATATTTTAAAAGAGCAACAGGTCTACTTTAGTCAAAGAATATAATAGCCACTCAGAAGTATATCTTTTCTTTCTTCTAAATGGGAATTATACTGTACTATATCAGAGGAATATTTTGAGTGAAGGTATATGGTGCAGGGAAACAATTTTTTTGGCCAAACACTTGAGTTACTTTTATTTTAGAGTTTATTATTGCATATTGTTCAAGAAAAAATTAGGTAGTGTTCTGTTTAAGCCACTGCATAGTTAGGGCTGAAGTTTGATGCTGTTGAATGCCTAAGCTCCTGCTTATCTCAGTGAGAGTAAAAAAACAATCTTTTACTCATGAAAAATATCTGCTAAGCTACTCCTTTTTATTTTGTCATTAATAATATTCATATCTTGTTTCTCTTTCCTTTTTTTTTTTTTTGTGTGTGTACATAGGAATCTTTGTTGACATGCTAGAGCAGTCCTGTTGCAGGCCTGGTATCTCCTGTGGCCTTTTTCCCCACATTCCTTGCATTTGTCTCTGTACAACACTACTCTACATGTAATAGGACTCAGTGATAGAAGGGAGAAAAATGAACTTTTCCATGTCGAAAGACAATTTCCTTACTAACACTGAGGATGTCAATTCAATGTAAAACCTAATCAAATATGCTGATTCTTTTTATTTTTAAAATGAACATTTTTTGCAAACTTTTTTCCCCTTTTTGATGTTTTTACTCTGTTTTTTTTCCTTTCCTTTTAAAAGAACCACAATTAAGAAATATTTTCTTTCCTTAAGTGCAGTCTTTTACAAATGTGGTAGAAAGGCTGATTCCAAGCATCCTCTAAGTGCTACATGCTCTTTAGGCATTCACTGACATTCAGATGAAACTTCAAGTCTATTGAATGTGATTTGCATGCATGCAGTATGATCTTTCGCTCCTGCCTTTTTGAGGAAAGTGCAACTCTCTTGTTACACCGGAGGAAAACTGGTGTGGGGTCAAAGTCGGGGCCATATAAGTTTTAGGTGTTTGATAATCAAAACAGTTCATGAATTCCGTTTTACATCCTCACAATTGTTGCCTAGTAAGGCCTTAAACCTGCTCTGGTTAAAAAAAAAAAAAAAAAAATTCTCATTGAGCTTAATGGGAGTTTTTGCCTCAAGGGCTGCTGGCAGGATAGGTGTCTTAGCTTCTCCTAACCTTCATTTATAAGAATGGCCAGGAAAAAATAAAACAACAAAAACTTAATACAATGAGTTGCCTTACATTTCCCCTACTATACAGTTGTATTTCTTTGATTAGTTTCCTTTCCCCTCACTCACATCCAAGGCTGTGATTGTTTTTGTTTTTAATTTTTTTGCACACTACCTATACCAATTAACTGCCTAATTAGTTTTATCTTCTCTACATGGATGCAGTGAATTTGTAAGAGAATTTCACAAGCAAGTAGTTTTTTAGTGAGTTTAAAGTAAATAGAGTTTTAAAGACCTATTTTTATATTCAATATAAAGCACAAATGTGCAGAAAATGTAGAATGACTTACAAAAAGGGAAGCAAAAGTTCGTAATATTTCATGTATAAAAGTAATACCTTCTTTGGGGTGAGATTCTCTTAGAAAACCCAATACTTATGCCAGTGCAAAGATAGGAATATTTTAAAAACTCTTAGAAAAATTGTGATTGACAGCAATTTAAAAGGAATGACTTCTGTAGATACAAGGAAACCCCTAAAGCAATATGGATAAGAAGGGGTGAATGGTTTTCAATGATGAACAACAACCTGGAAGTGTGAGAATGGAGGTTTCAATCCTTATTAATTAATCAAATTTCTTCTTTTGTGGTTAGTTACATCTGGATTTTCTGTGAAGTGCAATCTTGCAGGATGAAAAAGTGCAAGGGTGCCAAAATTCTAAGACTAG